GCTCCCAACCATCCATTATGAGATCTGGTGCCCTCTTCTATTGTGCAGAAGCAGAATGTTGTATACATAATAAATAAATAAATAAATAAATACAATCTAAAACTAAAAAACACAAAAAATTAGAGGAAAACATGGAAGCAGAATGTTGTATACATAATAAATAAATAAATAAATACAATCTAAAACTAAAAAACAAAAAAAAATTAGCTTTATGCCTCCAATCCTTAAAATTTTTTTAAATATATTTTAAAGTTTTATACTTGATCTTGTTTGTAATCTTACAATACTTTATCTATGTATCTATAGTATTCTGCAGGGCCTGGTGGTTCCGGAATGAATTCTAGGTACTGAGAGGTTATCTAAGTTCTGACAGGGTTATGGTAAAAAGATAACAGATTTGAGGGCAGTTTGGTGCCACATAGGCTCTGACTCAAAAAAAAAAAAGTTTTATTCGGAGAGAACCCCAAAGGAGCACATACCAAAAGTTCAATCATTAGAAAGCATCAAAAAATACATTTCCCTTACGAGTCTGCAAAAAGAAAATGAGCTTTCATTTAACTCCCCCCCCCACAATGTCCTCCTTCTAAACAAATTTGGCATTTTCATTAAATTCTGGGTAATTATGCATATGAAAAAGGGCAAAGCCGTAACTCTACACTACGAAATCATAAGTAACTAATTATTAGAACACGTGTACACTACTTTTTTTTACAACACTTGTATAGTACTTTTTACGGGGCAGCATTTCTGTAAGCACTACGACTTCGCTTAATCTTCACACTGGCTTCAGTCTTTACCACGGTTGCCTGAAATCTTTCAATCCCTTTACATTAAGTAAAAACTTTCGAACTGACCCCTCCCTTGCTTATTCAAAGGTGGTTCCCCTCCACGATCTTCTAGGTTCTGCTCCTCTCACAGGAAAGCCGACACGAAGGCACACCCCACTTTCACGGAACCCCAGTCAGGCAAACCCAAGCCAAAGAGCTATGCTTTCCATCTGGATTCCATAGTGCTCTATGAGTGTCACAGTCCCTCAACTCCCTTTGGAGGACCTAATCGACTGCCCCCTTCTACCAACTTTTCTTGGGAAACAGAATCTCTTACTCGGAGAACGCCTTTTAAACGAGTGCAACAATCTCAGATTCGCAATCACCGTCAAGTCCCCGCAAGGTACCAACACCCCCCCTCCCACGGAAGGATGATCTTAGCAGACCTCGAGGACCTTTGGGACCCTTAATCCGCTCCTTCGCCAACTTTCTGCTTGCTACCAGTGGCAGACCCAGCTTGGACCCCTCAGACAAGTTGGATTTCCCCGCATGCCCGCGTTTTC